CCAGGTCCCCAGCAGGGGGCGTGTGAGAGGCAACCACACATTGATGTTTCCCTCCCTCACTTTCTCCCTCCGTTCACCCTTTCTAAAAATAAATAAAAGTCTTAAACATTTTGTCTCCATATTTCATCCTCAGAGAGCTGAAATCTCTTAGAATTCTACATTATAAACTTCATAATTTTGGTAGCAATATTCTTAGTTATATATATTTTTTATTTTTTAGAGAAAGTGAAAGGGAAAGAGAAAGAACAAGAAACATCCATGTGTGAGAGAAGCATCTATCAGTTGCCTCTCACATACCCATAACTGGGGACCTGGCCCTCAACGCAGGTATGTTCCCTGACTGGGAATTGAACTGGTGACCTTTCAGTCCTCAGGCTGGTGCTCCATCTACTAAGCCACACTAGCCAGGGATATAAATTTCAGAACTTAAATATTTGGATGTTTCTAAATCAGATTAAAAATTAAAAAAATACGAAGTTGGAGAAAATGGAAGTATTGGTGATAATCTCAGGAAAAGGCATGGAAAAGGCAGGGAACTTGACTGACTCGCAGGATGTTAGAAAGAAGGTTGAGGAGGTCCCTCATGAGGACCTATATACCATGCTCATGAATTTGTATTTAACATTTCGATAATAAAAATAGCGAACATTCATTGAAAATGTTTTATGCAGCAGGCAATATTCTAAACCTTTTACAGATACTATTTTATTTAATGCTCACCTCTTTGTGGCATTATGTTCTATTACTTCCATTTTACAGGCTAGAAAACTGAGTGACAGATATTTTAAATAACTTGCCCAAGGTCAAAAAGTGAGAAAGTTCTAGAGTTGAGAGAGCAACTGAGGCAATCTGAAACTTGAGTAACCAAGTTCTTATCTGCTGTGCTCTACCTCTACCAACATGATGAGCAAACAAGGAAACTTTAAAAACCAGGAATGACTGAGATTGTACGTAACTTAAGAAAAGGCTTCCAGTAGCTCTGCGGAAGATGGGCAAGAGAGGGAGAGACACTTGAGCCAGAGAGACTAATCCTGAGACTCTTTTTTCCTAGGCAAGAAGGTGAACTAAGGTAATGTGTCCTGGAAATGGCAGATGGGAGGCATTCAAGAGATGTGGGCAAGGTAAAAGTGACTGGACATGGTAACCAGTTGTGGGAAATGAGAAAGAGAGTAAGAGTCTGAAGCTGGCTCTCAAATTCTGATCTTGAGTGGTGGTTAGTTGGCCATACCTTTGATGGAGATAATGGAGGAATGGAAAATGGGGCTACAAGACCTTTATTTGGACACATATGGAACTTGGGATGCCCATGAAGCAGTCCTGTTAGGGCTGATAGGCATTTGGAAATTGGGTTTTCAGCTCAGAGGAATGCTATAGTGTACATGTAACATGAAGTCATGATGGTAAAAAGCATCACCCAGGGAGATAAGACATGAAGACTGGGAAGCTTGTAAGGGATAGATGGGCAAAGGAGGAGAAGCTGCTGTTAAAAAAAAAATCATAAAAGAGAATCTTATAATGACAATGTCTCAGGTAGCATGTCCTATTCTACACCTCCTGGGTGAGGACTCCTCCATGGGCCCATCTTTCACCATTTCCTCTGTCCCTTGCTCTTCATGATCTGAATTAGTAATGGCAATCCCACCCTTGCTAGACGCTGGATGACTTCCCATCCTTATTGGATCTCAGAACCCTACACATGCCTTCATTCCATCAAACCCTGCTGTATGGCCATCTGTATCCAGCCTGGACCCTGACTGACACAAGGATCTTCCCCCATTTCCACCCATTCTTCATGAGTCAACATGAGCAGAGACTTCTAGGAGCCTCCCAGTATTCATTCTACACTTTATCCTTGATAACAGAACCATGGGCAATGTGGTTCTTGGAAAAAACCACTGTGTTTCTCTTTGAAAAAACACATTTTCTAGCCTCCATTGTTGCTACGTGTGGCCATTTCACTGAGTTCTGGCAATGTGAGCAGAAATGCCATGTGAAAATTTAAGGAACCCTTAAAATGGGCAGCCCTTTCTACTCATTCCTCCTTCCTTCTGCCTGTAATGTAAATGTAAGATGTAATGGCTGCAGCTCTAGGAGCCACCTTAGACCGGAGGAGACCTTGGGAATGGAAGCCTCCTTAGAAAAACAGGGCCATGGCCCCTGTCTTTTGAATCAGAGGGAATGGGAGAATAATGTAGATAGCAGAGTGCTCTGGTGGTTGCAAGAAGGGAAACAGAAAGTGCTACCTGGTCCTTGGTTGTTGTTGTTGTTTCATTGTTTTTGTTGTTTTTTTATGATGTGTGAGATGTACTCACTTGAGAATGTAGTAGGGGAATAGTAGGGAGAACAAGAAAGGTTAAAGTAGTGACCTTGAAGATTGAATAAAGGACCAGAACAGCCACAATGAAGAAGACAAAAGGAATTTGGCCAAGTCTAAAGAAAAGGAATGGAAAGCTGGTGCCTTTATAGGTAAAATCCAGAAAATACCCCCTCCCCCAAAATCTCTTGGAGAAATCTTTAATTGCACAATAGCATAATGCAGAATACTACAGTGTGGTAATTTGGCAATTTACAAGCTATTTTATCCATGTTATTAGAGCATTCAAATTATTCAGTGCTAAAGGGATTAGTTTTTATAGTAAAAGACAGCTAGATAATTACTAAGCCTGCTATTCACATAGAACTTTAAGAAGGGCCTATATCTAAAACTGTATTATTAGTACAACATAAACCACATTTCCATCACATAGGCATCAAAGCCAAAATAAATTTTAACAGCATGAATATAAACATGTATTATTACTTGCATTTTCCATGAAATTGTAATAAATCAAAGACCTGTCATCAGTGTGCATTTGCAAACTGGCAGCCGTATGCAGCTGGGGTTAATTGTGACCTTTATGTTATTTAAACATATTCAAAATTTTTATTATTATTAGAGGATAAGATGTGCTTGGTTTTCTTTGTATCAAGCAAGAATATTTACTCTTAAATGACACACATCCTTAGAGACTTTAGAGCAAAACCTTTCATAATATTTAGCTATTTTTAAATGTCAGGTGCAGTTGAGTTTATTACATGGCTGGTCCATACCGTCACCAAAAGTCTCCTGCTTTTAGTGGTACTTAACAGATTGTCAGTAAATTGATAGCATTTCCACATTTGGAAAATTTCCAGTTTCCTCATGGGAATGGAGGGACAGGTATTTTCTTCAAACCTAGTGAGGGATTTCTTTTTGTTTTGTTTCATTTCATATTGTTGTTTGTTTGTTTGTTTGTTTGTTTTGCATTTGGTTGGCTTAAGGGGAGGTGTGAACTAAGAAGGGATTTTAGGGGGAAAAAAACAAATATCTTTCTTACCATCCTGAAGCCTATGTAATGATCAGGTCACCCAGAGAATTTTGCTGACTCTAGCTAGAGGGCACATTTGCATCAGGTTTGTTTTCAATACTGAAGGGAAAAAACAGAGTGAGTCCTAAGCACAGAAGTTCTTCAGAAGCCTCCACTTTCGTACTCACATGTGCTGTTTATGCTACTTAAGGTTACTCACAGGACTGGTTAGAGGACAGCTGGGTTGAGTGGAGAGGGCATTACTTGCGATCAGAAGGCATGGTTTTGATTTCTGGTCCTGCTGCTTATGAGCTTTGTGACTGAACAAATTACCTACGATTTCCAACCTTGATTGTCTTTTTTATGAAATACAGATAATAAAATCAGATCCCCACACCCACTCCTAGCACAAACTGTCTTGAAGATTAATCTCTATGATAAATGCCTGTGAACATGCCTCAGGTCCTGGAAAGCCTAATGCAAATGAGGCAGTTTTGCTCTTAAAAGGAATTCTCTAGAATTTACTTGATATCCTGATTTGAGAGAGAGGGGTATATATACAGAGTGGGCAAAAGTAGGTTTACAGTTGTTTGTATGGAAAAACAATACAATAATTAATAAATAATAATGTAAGAATAAACACTTTCATGTACTCACAACTGTAAATCTACTTTTGACCCCTCCTGTGTGTATATATGTGTGTGTGTATATATATATATACACATATAGGTATCTGTATATATATGAAAGTAATAAAGCTAATCTTGACTGATGAGAACTGAATGATCTTTGGATCTCTGTCAACAATTTATGGTCTATAGGGCAGTGGGGGTAGAGGTTAGGTAGAGGTTAGATGAGAAGACATTCACACTCTGCCTCCGAACTTCCTACCATATTGTCTTGGGCAAATCAGCATTGCCTCAGCTCTATTTAATAAAATAGAGATAATGACATTGTACTACTTCAAGGACTAAATGAAGACATGCAAAGCACGTGATTGTAAGTACTAAGAGTTTTAGATATAGGGGTTATGATCCCAAGTAGTTTCTTAGTAGTCTGAAATTCAAACTTTACATCAACTTATACTTAATTTACCTCCTTCCCAATTTTGGATTTTATTTCATTTTACCCATAGAAGCAAATTTTTAAAAATTAATGGTGTCTGTCATTACAGTGCTACAGATTTTTGAAGTTTTTGTAATTAGCCACTCCAGTGCTGTCTGCCTTCCTTCATTTAAATGGTCGGTTCTGTTTGAAAGTTTGTGCAAAAAGAGTTGCTGGGTTCAAAGAAAAATTCAGCAATTGGATGGCATATGAAATAAGGTTAAACTTGAACAACACAGGCGTGAACTGTGCAAATCCATTTATGTATGGATTTTTTAAATAAATACTGTAAAGGTATTTTCTCTTCCTTATGATTTTCTTAATATTTTTTATCCAGCTTACTTTGTTGTAAGAGTACAGTATTTAATACATGTAATATACAAAATATGTGTTAATCAACTGTTTACAATATCAGTAGTAAGCTATTTGTAGTTAAGTTTGGGGGGAGTCAAAAGTTATATATAGATTTTTGACTTCAAGAGGAATCAGCACCATAACTCCCAGATTGTTCAAGAGTCAACTATATAATAAACTTTCACCTCTTTTGTGTGTTTTTTTCTTTCTCCTTAGCTCTCACCTGAAGTTTAGTAATCTCACACTAATTTCAACCCATGGACTCCCTGGAAAAAAACTACTGGGCACTGAACAAAGGAAGTTTTTAGCAAGCGAGTATGAATTCTATTTGCTTTTTCATTCTGAGCCCTAAATGTCCTGACTTGTATGCAATTATTTCTATGCTAAATAGATTTCAGACTAGAAAGAGGAAAGTTGGGTGGACTTTCCTTCTGGCTTATAGATGTCACTTAGGAGATACGAGTACAAACCTGGTAATGAGTGAATGGCAGGGTTGGGCTGCCATTTTCTGTTTGTGGAAAGACCTATAGCCTCTTCCAAACAACTGGGATGGAGCCTCCTTACCCAGCCAACCCCTGCATTTGGGTTCTGAGTGACACTATAGGGCAGAGGAGCTTGGTGTCTGTATTTCCATCAGATCAGGCAGCTCCCCCAAGGTTCAGAGTTGGGAGATGAAGGTCCAGTACCTCACTGGGGTGTGGGTCTTACACTTAGCCTAGCCATTTATAATCTGGGGCTGATCAAGCAAGACATTCTATGCCAGTCTAGGCAAGCTTTGTTGTTTGCATCCCAGTAGAATCCCATTTCATTATCACACAGCTTCCATTAACTTAATTTCCTGTAGCAATACAAGGGTACAAGAATTATTAGGCTCCCTGCCTCTAGATACAATGTTCAAATTTTTCAAATGAGGAGGAAGGAAATTGTTCCTTCTCCGGGTATTCATTTTAAGATCCATGACAAAGGGATCCTCTTTCTTCTGTGAAAAACACTTATTTTGCCATCAAACAATGAGAAAACCTGTGGCTTTCTTGCCAGCAGAATCAGGCTCATTTTTGCCTAATATCAGACTATGAACCTTTTTTTTCTTTTTTAAGGCCATCATAAGGTACAGTAAAAAAATTTAAAAATTTTTTAAAAAGCCAGGTGGATGCAGATTCAGATCCTACCCCTATCACAAAGGGGATTTCATTCCCTGAACTTTGAATTTTTGTTACTGTGAAAAGTGTATGATAAGTGAACCTTGCTGGAGTTTTTGGTTAAAATTAGTGTAATAGTAAATTCTGGCTGTGTAGAGGATCAACACATGCACACCCCTTCCTTCATTGCCCTATTTCTAAATTACATGATTCCCAGGAAATGTTGGTGTTATTGATAAATGTCCACAGGAATTTAATTCATTCAGCTTGATAAAGGTTTCTATGAGCCCCTGTGTTAGGCATGTTATAGCAGAGAAAAACCAGTAGTGACTTTTCGCTGTGTGGGATCTGTGTGTGGCAGATGGAAAGTCACCTGGTTCGTGCACAAGCCTGCCTCTCCACATTCTCAACACAGCAGCCAGAAAAGTGCTGCATAAATGTGAGTCAATTCATGCCAACTCCTAACTGTCCAATATGGTGGCTACTGGCCACATACGGCTATGTAAATTTATATTGATTAGCATTAAATGAGATTAAAAATTCAGCTTCTCAATTATGTTAGCCATATTTCAAGTGCTCAAATAGCCACATGTGCCTAGTAGCTGCCACATCAGTCAGCACAGCTACAGAACATTTCCATCATCACAGAAAGTTCTAGAATGTTTCAACCTAAAATCCCTGTCTACTTTATTCTCTGACCTCATCTTTTACCATTTCCACTCTAGCCATACCAACCTCCTTAACATTTCTAAAACAGAACAGGCAGGTCCCCACCTTGAGGATCTTTGCTTTTCTCTCTCCAAGTCTTTGCTTAAATGTCAATTTTTCAATAAGACCTATCCTGACCACCCATTCATTTGCAACCAACACTAAAACACTCCAGTCCTCCTTACTCTGCTTGTATTTTTTCTTGGTACTGAAATCCTTGTAAATATTATATAATTTGCCCTTTAAAATTATGTTTTCTCTTTATATTCTCAATCCTTCAACTACAATGTAAACTCCATGAGGACAGGAATTTTTTTTGCCCCTTTGTTCACTGATATGTCCCTAGCATCTAGGACACAGGTTGGCACATAGCAGGTGCTCAGTAAATAATGTTGAAAAGATGAAGTTTCATCCAAAAGTACCTGTGAAAGTCATCTCAATCAGTATATACATAGGAACTAAATGGCACAACCAGGTGCCTCTGGTTGAGTAACTTCATGTTATCATCATTCTGGAAACTACAAATTGAAAGATGTTGCCTTTCCAGTGTCCCTCACATCACAATAAAGGAAATTATCTTTGGTCATGAAGTTTAAAAATAACAAATGCATTGACATCCATAAATATAATGGTTTAAATTTCTCATTTTAAATATGAATTCTGAACTTTGCCCTAACCATTGTTTTGATTTATTATTGTTGTTACTATATTTAATAGCCAGTTTTTGTTTTAATTCTCTGGCCCTGCCCAGTGTCTAGTGGAGGTGTTAATGACATGCTAGGGATGCAGCAGAAAGGAAGGCAGTGGGAGGACAGGAGAAAGAGGAAGCAGGAGAAATCCACTAATTGGACAATCAGCCCTGAATAATTGAAAGTTAATTGTAATATCCCTTCTTCTAAGAGTGTTACAATAAATCCTTTATAGAAACCTCCGTGGTTCTTTCCAGTTCTAAAGGGTACTGATTCCATGAAGTGCAGATCTGCCCTATAAGTCTCCTGATACCAGATATGGGGCCCCTGCAACTTAAATAAGCAGGCCACTTGTCACACATGTCTTCTTCCAAAATTTTTCCCATCCTGCATTTCTGCTTTTTAAAAAATTATTCGCCATCTCCAGAATGTTCTGTGAAGATAGCCTTTTACGTTATTTTCAAGTCAGGGTCAAGGTTACTTGAGAAACATGAAATTTCATTGATGTTCCTTCTTTGGTTTCTTCTCTCTTTTCCAGAGAACCCTAGTGGAGGTATTTCTCTTCTCCTCAAGCCATGAGACAGTCCCTGTTATGTTAGAATCTTAATGCTCACTAACTCTGCTTAGGAAATAATTTTGGGAAAATATCACATAGTTTCCAATGTCTACTTTCACCTGCCTGATTGGTAAATTAAAGAAGGTCCAGAATGGATAGTGATATCCAGAACAGATGGTAATTACCTACGCAGTGACATTTTAAACTGAGAAATGCCATAGTAACAAACTGCAAAAGCAGCACCCCACATTCTTCAATGCTTCCTAGGGTTCCTAAAAATCACCTCCGGCATTCCACTTCCCACTACACAATGCTTCAGATCTTAACCCCGAAATATGCATTCTGACATTGCACTATTGTCCCACTGTTATTAAAAATAACATTGTCTTTGCCTTCCCCAAATTTCCCCTGAGAACTTTATCTTTGAGCAAATCCTCATAAGACTAATCCCTACGCACTATTTTTAATTTTTCCTCATCTTGGGTGACTGACAGTGCTGTTCCTATTATGCAGGGACTGTGATGCAAATGAGAACAATCCTTTGTGGGTCTCTCATGAATATACAAAATTAATTAAATTTTTGTTTTTCTGTAAAGCTACCAAAATGGTTTTTTAAAAAAGAATTTCATCTCACCTTCTATTATTTTCCTGTGATAGGCCAGCCCCCAATTTTCTTTTCTTATTACGGAGAAATTTTCTTGTTTTTAAGTGTTGTTTCATGGAGAGATACAAAGCCCAGAGCTCCCTTCTCTTTCACAGATCCTATAACGGGGTCTAATGTACATCCATTATGAGGATTCTTTTTGTGTGTTGAGAGCAGACTCATAAGTGGATCAAAAAGAAAAAATGTTCTCCCATTACTACTTTAGTCCTATTTGCCTCCAAGGAGAATAAACAGGATTATATATCATTAATATCATTTAGAATAATACCCTTCACATATGCATTCCACTTGACAAAATAGATCTCTTATATCCTCACATTTATCCCTTACAATTGTCAGTGCTTGTTGGGAGGAAAATTATCCCAAGTTGAGGAGTGAAGAAACTGAAGTATTGAAAGAGGATGCATAGTCCCAGGGTCCAATCTTATTGGTGACAAAGCAGGGGTACAGGCCTTGGTACAGTGAAGCCTAGAGTTAAATGAAACACATTATTCTGCCACCTACACTCTTGTAATGGCATCAGAACAGAATCACTAGAGGGTCACATCAGGAGGTCATAGCTTTCAGAAAGTTCTGGAAAAACCCCTCATGAAACTCTAAAAAACCCCAACACCAACAAGAAACACCGTTTCCTCACATTATACTAGAATGCTCAAACTCAGTGGAATCCAGACAAGAAAACACATCTACCCTGGACCTGCTGTTTGCAAAAGTATCAATTCTCCATAAATCACCTTTGCCCTGTAAGGTGAATCTCAAAAGTCTCCGGGGACTGTAGTTGCTTCAAACATAATTCCCTAATTGACACGTTCTCTAAATAAAATGTGTTCTGTTGTTTTGGCACAAATCCACACACTCATTCTAAGAATGAGTCATTTATTGAAAAGAGTTAGCAAATAGGGAGGTTCTCAATATTCAGGACCTTAACCCTGCCTTTGAGAATCCTTAGCAATGTCACTTTCATGGTCAATAGAACAAGTCAACAGCTAAAGTAAATTTATACTCACTATGAAACAGAAACAGAAGAAAGGATGTACATTATATATATGATTCACATGCACACATATACACAAACCCTCCCTGTTGTGGACTGGCTATTTAGCTATAATGGGAAGATGTCAATTTGTGACTGTCTCATGATGAGAAATTTCCTAGTGTGTAGCCTTGGTGCTGGTATACTCACAGTAAGAGCACAGGCTCAGCCCACTGAGGGACTTGAACCAGCTCACCAGATGTCTAATTAATGCCTGCTGTCAGCTGCTCAAATGTCACTGATGGAGCTTCTCTCTCTGCAGCCACTGTTTTAATGATAAAGATCACGCATTGATGTCACTGTGCTCCTGGGTCAATGTCGTGGTTGGTAGAATGACTGCCATAGACCGAGCAGCCAAGCATGTCATGGTTTCCCAAAAAGAAATCGTGCTCTATGATCACCTCATCCTCTGCACCGGGCAGCAGTACCAGGTGAGGCTGTGCATGGTCATCGGAGTGAGTAACAGTTAATGTGTTTACCAGGCACATACTCTCTGGGTGAAGAGCATACCTTCTTGCCTGGCAGCTGCCACGCTGTATTGATAAAAGTGTCCTGTGAAGCTCGTGCACATGACCAGAATTGTATCCAAAACCCTCACGGAAACCTATTCCAAGAAAAGCATTCTGCTCAAGAATAAAAATCACAGCAAGTCGGAGAAATGTCATTCTTTAAGCTGTTGTCCAGAAGTCTAACACTTGCTGCTCACCAAAGCAGAATCCAGACACAACCCACATGCATTTGTGGGAAATTAATTTACGCCTGAAGAGGCTAACATTTGGCAGTGGTGATGGGCTCATGCAAAAGTATTTCAAACATGCACACCTTCTGTCAACCCTTGTGTCATTTTTTGTCTCTCAGTTTTAAAACTAGGAAATGTGACTGATTACCCAGTGACTATGTTGTCCGTTTTGATTAAATTCTCAAACCACATTTCAGGAAAGCATTGTTGGATATAATTGAAGTTGTTTAATATCTTAGGGAAGTGAATTTTAATATTCTCACTTTGCAATACACATTAGCATTTCATGTGGCCCACAAAATAGGGCATCTCTGTAATCGAAAGAGACTTACTTTGTAACTCAGATGGGATCTTTTTGTTACGTTTCTCCCAGAAACCTGGACAGGCCTCCCTGTGGTGGGTTTGTTCCCAAGGAGTATGGAGTAATCCATCCCCATCCGAGGCACTGTTATATTTTATCTGGCTCTCTCTTAGGCCATCTTGTGAGTGGTCCTGGATTAAAAGGGTGTGTGTGTGTGTGTGTGTGTGTGTGTGTGTGTACATGAGCATGCACACATGTAGGTTTTTGTTTCATAGCCAAGCCAAGAAGAGGTAGTATATGGTGGGGGACCGACAGCTAAGCAACTCTCAGCATCACTTACTTGCGGTTCTGAGCCTTGGCTACACGTTGAAATCACCTAGGGCACTTATAAAATATATCCATGCCTAGATCCAACTCCCAGAAGCTCTGTTTTAATTCTTATGGGGTGGGGACTCAATCATCAGTATTTTTTTAAAGCTCCCAGAATCCTAAGTCAAGGTGAAGGACAACTGACTTTAACTTTCTTGACATAGAATCTCTCATCTCAAACTGTCATGTGCACACATCTCCCCTGTGCATCTCATAAAATCCAGAGTCTGAGCAGAAAGGGGACAGGGGCAGTTGAGGGGCAGATTATAAAAACTGCAGTTTTAATAATCTCCCAGGTGAGGCAGATGCTGCTAGAGACTAGACCATATTCTGAGTATCAAAAGTTTGGATCACCCTCTGAGTAATTAATTTTTTTCTCTTCTTTTTTCTTTTTCTTAGTTAAAGGATAAAAATAAACTCAAGGACTATGTTATTTTGATACTTAAGTATTCCTCTTTTTAAGCATTAGGCCAGAAGAAAACACCATGTGCCCCTTTAGCTTGCCCTCCTTTGCCTGCTCCACTGATTCCCAGCTGCTGCCAATGATCAAGGACTTCAGAAAATATGAGTAAAAGACTCGGGCATTTGCCCATGTGTGTCCAGCTGCCCCTGCAGCTTTAGTCTGTGGCACATTAAACTCTTGCCCTTTTAACAACAGGAAAAATGAAGAAGTGATAAAGGGAGTTCTAATTTAATTTTTCTAGAAGGACATAAAACTTAAAGGTACAGAGAGTGATACCAAAAAAAAAAAGCAACTGAATTCACTTTGAGGGGTGAGGGGTTCCAGTTCTTATTTCTTTTCTTGTTTTCTTCTCCAACTTTGGGGTTTTGTCCCAATTTTGTAACTTACAAAACAACCACAACAAATAAATATGATGAAAATAAAGCAGAAACTCAAAGCAAGAAGATAACTTATTACAAAATATAATTACAAGCCTTAACCTTTAAATGGCATGTATCACTTTAATATTATGTAATATTTTTAATATCCAAATGCATATCATGTAATCTTTTTATCAGGTAATCCATGCACAAAATAAAACAAACTGTGCTGTAGGGTTGCATGTGAGGAGGACTGCTCTCTACTTCTAAGCCAAGGACACCCACTTTGAAGCATTTCTATTGTTAATTCTTCAATACTCTTACACTGAACTCCAAAAAATGCATTTATAGTAGTTTTTTTCTTTATCTATCAACTTCTGACATTTTGGAAGATGAAGATTTATCTAGCTCACATTCAGTACTCTCTGATTGCCTTTCCCACCCTATCAATTCAACTATTTTTATTGGTGAGCACATGCTGGTCCTGGAAATCACTCTGAAACAGCCAGTCTCCATGGCTCATGGAGAAGCATGCAGAGAGGGAGAAATGTCTACCCCATGCCTGGATTTGGGCTATCTCAAAAATAGGAAGAATCAGAATATGTCAAAGTCAAATAAGGCTGGTGCTGATCATAAGAAAACCATGATAGGGACCCTCAAAAGGGTGACACTTACTAGAAGCCAGCAGGTAGGGCAAGAACATCCAACCAGGCCAGTGAGTGAGCCAGGATGTTAGTTATGGTGAGCTTGATGTGGGTCAGCAATAGCATGTGATCTCCACAGAGGCTAATTACATCTTGGATGGGGTAAGTAAGAGCCTGGCATGCAGAATGGTACAGCCCCAGGAAATAGCCTTCTACAAACAGGTAGGAAAGAGAGTTTTGCACACCACTTTGCCTTCCCTGTAAGAATTGAGAAAGCTGCTCCCCCATCACTTAACAGCACTAAGCATGAAGAGACATCACTGCATTTGAGGATGATTAAAGTGCAAAATAACAGCAAGAGGTCAAAGAAAAGTGGCATTTTAAAACAAAGCCAAAAATTCTTTGGTTTCTTCCATCTAAGAGGTGGAGTTTCCTCCCCTTTGAATCTGGGCAGGCTTGTGACTATCTTAACCAATAGAGTACAAATGCAGTGATGTGACATAACTTCTGAGGCCCTGTCAAGGGCCATTCATTGTCTCTTTGCGTGAACAGTTGCTTCTGGAACCCTGGTGTGTTATGTAAGAAGTTCACGTAACTTGTGATTGCCATGCTGGAGATGCCATACATTGGTTCTCCAGTTGATAGTTCTAGCTGATCCCAGCCTTTCAGCCATCCCTGCCAAGGCACCAGACATGTGAGTTAAGCCATCTTGGACGCCCACCAGCTGAATGTCACCAGTGACCCCTATCAATAACACATGGAATAAAAGAGTTGCCCAGCCAAACCCTACCTAAATTTCTGAACCACAAAATCATGAAAAGTAATAAAATGGTGGTTGTTTAAACCACTAAGCTTTGGCATGAGTTCATAGCACAGCAAAATACAACTGAAACAAAAATAATAACACAGAATAAGAGAAAGATAACATCTGCAAAAATCAGAACTGACTTCTGACAACATTCCAAAGTGCAGGCTTTATACACACACACTTTGATCACCCAGGCTCTGAAATGGGATCTGAAGTAAACAAAGAGCAGAAGCTAAGTTGAGTGAGCCTCAGGATTAGATGAAAAGGCAGATAGTGGGTTAAATCAAGAGGCAGAACTGCTGTACAATGTTAGTGATGCTGAAGACAAAGCACAAAGCTCCCTGCGAGGGTAGAGGCACAGGGCCAAGGGCAAAGGGCAACGTATGATGCAAGAAATGAAAAGATATAATTGAATGGAAGCAACATATGGATCATTGGTCTTCCCAAAGAAGATACCCAAATAGAATAGAGACAACAAAGATATGCTAGAAGAAAATTTTACATATCTAAAAACTGCATTGCCCAGTTGATCAAATTCCAGGGAAAATAAAAGAAAAATTTTTTCAGCTACTTACACATTCTTATAAAAATTTTGGTTCTATATGAAATATAGGGGGGAAACCAAGAGAAAAATAACAAGTTACCAACCCTTTTCCCCACCTCCCCCAAAAAAGAACAAAAATAAGGCAGGCATTAAAAAATTACCTCTCCAGTGTTAAATGGCATAAGAAAATGAAACTAGGCACACAGGATGTTGAAGAAAATGTAGCAATTCAATAATTACATGCCCACCTAAGTCCCTTCTATTTGAAGACAGCGTCAGAAAAATAGAAGGCCTCAGAAAAATGATCTTCACTGTTCTTTAATGTATATTCAAATAACTGACACAGAAAGAAAACTTCGGATTTCACAATAGCATGAAAGAACAAGGGGCAAGCGCCAAACAATTTAAAAGGTAATCCAAATTTGTAAATCTGAGAATAAATGCAAAATGGGAACAAAATGAATCTTAATCTAAATCTAATCAATACCATGTTGTTGAAAATAGGGAGAGAATTTCAGGGAGGAATATGAAGTGTCTTAAATGGGGAAACTCAAAGGTAACATTCAATCTTAACTCATATGTAGAGTAAATAAGGTTAAAGAATGCTTTTGAACTGCATAAATAAGTTTACCTTTCAAACACCAGAGAAGATAAAATGGGAGAAAATATATCACTCATGTAACCAAAAGGAAGAAAACAAAGGCAACAGCCACAATGCTCAAATGTGAAAATATAAACAAGGATGGCGTGAGAGGAAAAAAAAAATAGTTATATCAGTGAATGTCATGGTTTTAAAATGCTGTGTTACAAGACCAAAGTTCTGTTTTTACACTAAATTCAAACTACAAGAAATATACCAAAACAAAATGACACCCAGACTTTAAAAATTAAAAAATTGTTAAAAGTGCACCAGCAATGTGCCAGGGAAATTCAAACAGCTATTAGAAGGAGCAACAATGTTAGTATCTAACAAAGCAGAATTATTGAGATTAAAAAAAAAAAGACAAAGGGTAGAATTTGTGACAAAGAGGTGATGAGCCTGTTGCATGCTGAACATGATTATGCCAAAGAACATTTCACAAAAACAGAAAGAAGTACTCCTGGAGTATTATATTTGTTTCTTGAACTAACATTTAATAAGAGGAAGAACAAGCTGAAAGCACATCCAGAAACTCAGAGACACCCAAGAGAGGTGAAGATTCGG